ACTCCCAACAATTCATATATTCTCATTTTTATATTCAAGAGAAGAACATTAATAATTCACTTTAAGCACAATTAACTTTTGGCTCACACAGTTTATTTATAAGAATTTTGGCCTCACCGTTTAATCTTTTCATTGATATGATTTCAGATCCTGTTTATTCTTGTTGATTTCTCAGCAGCTCAGATTAAACTCCAGTGTTTTGGGGTAAGAAATAAATATTTGTTGTAGTTTGATGGTGGAGCCACCAGGGGGAGACAGTGACTGTTTCAGAGCTTCACTGGTTTCCATCCTGAAGAGCTGAAAGAAGAAAGAAGAGAAGCAACCTGCATAGGTTGCACTCCAATCCTTTCAAACAAATTATTTTAAAGTGCTCAATTTGTTTGAATTTAATCTTAAATATAAGGTCTGTTAATCATCTTTCCTCCAGCATTTATCAGCTGTTTGCAGTATATAAACAAAGACTGTATCAGTTCGTTTTACAGTCACTCAGAGAAGCAAGAAAAGAGCCACACTGTATTAATGTTTACTTGTTATGGATGTTTTTATTGCATGACATTTGGCAGTTACCCCCAAAAAACATTCAATTCCATCAAAATAATAATGAAAAAGTGTATTTACATACTGTAATCAGCCTTCATACAGGTATTTGCAGTTAGACATTAACTAGCTTCAACTACAGTAAAAATTCACTTTACTACATTCATGATTATCTTAGTTATCCTGCTAAACTAAACTCATCGGGCCAACAGGCCTCGACTCAGACAAAAGGCTTCCTCTGTAATTCTTCCACAGTACGCAGCAAAGAAATATACACCACTAGCAACCAAACTCAAAGTATAACTCCTATAAAAGCAAGAACAGAAGTGGACTTGAAACTCCAAAAAACCCAACTGCTGCACAAATAAGAAAACATTGTTCAAATAAATACATTCAGCAGAAAATATGCCACCGCAGTGCAAAACATGAATACAAAAACAAGAAATGTAACACAGACAGCTGATTTAAGGTAGTAGCTGCTCAAACTTGAACAAAGAGAAAGATTGAAATTCAGTGGGAAAACAAAAAAAATTTAAGTAAAATGCAAAAGTAAATCATTTTTGGTTATGAATAAAGTATGATTTTTTGCAACTTTTTGTTGGTTTGCTTTTAAATATCAACGCTCATCCTGGTTTGTGCCGTAACACACTTATTGGAGAACACCCTGTTGTACAAGAGCTCCCAGGAACCTTTAAGGTTCTTTTAAATGTGATGTTAGTGGTCATCTATTCTACATTGATGACATGGTAAAATAAATAAATCAATTGGAAAAACGCTAGTATTTAACTTGAGTTGACTAGTTTTGTGTAAATTCCTAGAGGACCAAGAACGGTTCCCTGAGGAGCTCCTTCATGAATGTTGAAACCGGTCAGTTTTTCTGGATACTTTGAAGTATTTAGAGTGTTTTCAAGATACTTTGCTGGTGAGGAACCTATTTGGATCACATAGGAACTGTTTAGCACACATGGATAAGACTGGATTTTTCAGTTTCTCTGCAACTGATTTCACAGCAACAAGGCCTCGACCTTCAAAGCTGCTGCCTGTCGACAGGATTATGACCGACACGTTTTGCAGTGTTATGGGAGAGAAATTAAAATTTTAAATACATCCCAAACTATTTGTGTCTTTATCACAATTTTAGCTTGGATATGATGAGCAAAAGGCTGAACTCTGAAATGTGTCATATAATTTGATGTTGTTTTCTTTGCAGTGTTTTATTTCATGGTTGGAATATGTTTACAGTGGCTCCTTAACTCAAATTCATAGTTATTCAAGACAAATAAATTAAACCTGTAAATGTGTTTAAAGAGGCACATTAGAATTAATTGGGTAATTTCAGCTGGCTAACATGTTAGCCTGGAGTTAAACCATGTCTGAAGAACCTTGAAGTGAACATTTTGTTCTGACAGTGTGACAGAGTTCAGTGTTTTATCCTGTTGATCCTGTTTTCCTCGTTCATACCAGCTCTGCCACAGAGGGTGGGACTACTACAGGGGTGACTACAGTTACTAAAGTATATCAACTAAAACCAAAAACACACACTGACCCTGTTTAACCATTAGTTCCACCTAAAGACTGCAGAAGTATGTCGTTAGTTATAGCTGAAACATAAATGATGATATTTGCAAAAGATGATATTTAAGTATTTTCCTTTTAGCCCTGAGTACATTTTATCATTATTATTTACAAGATAGTTAATCTTCAAGAGGAAACACATCAAGTGTTTCAAACATTTACTTGTACAAAGTAATCTGTAGCAGAAAATGAACATGTGAATAAGCCCACAACAAAATCTCAAATCTCTTTTGTTTGTATTTACAGTTTTTTTTCCTTTTGTGCAGAAGCAGACAGCAGCTGAGGCTGTTTATGATTATTTAAACCCGATATCTAAAGATCACAACTTCCATTTAAGACAGCATTCACTTTTTTTTGGAGCTTCTTATTTCAAGGTCACAATTTATTTTAAAAAATGAATAAACACTGCAAATGTATTTATTGTTGTAAATGTGAATGCAGATGTTAGATGCTGTTCAATAAGTCAAAGTGGTACTGTTACAGTATTTCTTTCATACAAAATCCAGCTCATTGTCTCAAAATGACAAATGAGAAAGTGCACTGAATATTACAGTTATTATCTTCATTACTGAATAAAAAAGACAAATCGAGTTGTGATCTGTTTCAATAATCTAAAAATAAAAAATGAAACCCACAGAAAGCTGCTTTCAGCTTCTGCTTTGCTGCACTTTGATTCATCGATAGCAAAAGCAACTTAAAAAACTTGAAGATTTAAGAATAATTCACAGATTCTGCTGTGAATAATAATAATAATCATATTTGTTCACCAATCACAGCCCACATTCACCTCCAGTCTTAATATCCATGGAAACACTAATCCAGAGCGTCTCTGCTGCTACACTCCGCTGTTCTCCTTGATCCAGCTGCGGTATTTGGTGACTCGGGTGTAGACGCCGGGTTTGTTCCTGCGAGCGCAGCCGTCGCCCCAGCTCACCACACCAGCCAGGAAGGTTCGCCCACTGAGGCCGGTGACAGACAGCGGCCCGCCAGAGTCGCCCTGAGAGAGTCAGAGAGGAGGGACAGCAGATTTCTCAACATCCAAATATCTCATATTTGAGGCAGAAAAAAAAAAACTCCAGTTGTCAGAAATTCCTAAAATCTCCATCTTGGACTTAAACCCACGATATGGTCGATTTAATACTGGTTATTAATGTACTGTGGTATATTGAAATCATATCATGAATGTGTATATGGAGCTCTGAATGTTGCCCTCTCCTGCCTGTTATGGATCATTAACTCGTGTGATCTGCGTTACCTGACAGGCGTCCACGCCTCCTTTGAGGACTCCGGCACACAGCATCCTGTCGGTGACTTCGTCCATCAGACTCTTACACACCGTGCTGTTGATGATCCGAACCTCCGCCTTCTGCAGGATGGTCGCAGCAAGACCTGAAGGACGAGATGATCAGATCTTACAGATCCCCTCCAGACACGTATTAAGATGTACATACAAACAGTCTGCGTGGAACAGCAACGGGTGTCTGATGTGTGTTTCTACACACAAATAGAGTATTCTAATCTAGAAGAAAAAGTTTCAGTGTTGTTGATTATAACACTGTCGTTCTGTGTTAACTCGCCTCCCTCTCTGGTGGTCCCCCAGCCGGTGATCCACGCCACTTGGCCTGCTGGGAAGTCGTAGGTGGGTGAGGGCAGACAGATGGGCCAGATGTTCTGGTTGAGGGTGACAATGGCGTCCAGCTCCATCAGAGCGATGTCGTTGTCGTAGGTCAAGCTGTTGTAGTCTTGGTGGGCGATGATCCGCCTCACGTTCCTCCTCACCGTCAACTCGTTGGTCTGACTCTGCACATGCAGGCCCAGCAAGGCCTCCCATTGGTCCGCCTGGGAGTACCTGCATCGACACACACTCAAGAGGTCAGAGGTCGCGTCTGCTGGGGGAAGCAGTGGAATAAAACTCTGCAGGACATCTAGAGTGAGATTAATCTGAGAGGTTATATATAGATATAGATATAATGGAGTCATGGATGATGATGATACACGAGGTAAAATTAACATTTCTGTTTTGACTGTTTTGTCATAACAGACTTTAATTTAACCAACATTTGCTGTAACATATATAATAAAAGAAAGACATGAATGGTATCCATAATGAAAGAGCTTGTATTTGGAGCTCCTACTTGTTTGGTCCGTTGTCCTGAACACAGTGAGCGGCGGTCAGCAGCCAGCGGTTGCTCAACACCGACGCTCCACACACGTGACCTACACCCCTGATGTGGAGGCTGACCTGCCAGGGCCACTCCCCCTCCCGGGACGCCTGACCGCCCACGATACGGGAGCTCCGGTACGGCCTCAGCCCGCACTCTGAAGACACAGAAACAAATACAAATGTACAGAAATAACGTACAGCTGATGGTGAAACAACTGTGTGTGTGTGGTAGACGTACGGCAGCTGTTCTCGTCAGAGCCGTCCTCGCAGTCCTGCTCTCCGTCACACTCTGGGTTCAGTTTGCTGATGCAGCGTCCGGTCGTGCAGCGGAAGGTGAACTCTGAACACTGCTGCAACACCAGAGCTGACCGACAGGAGACACACAGATATTAATACTGACACTGACACAGAACTGTTGATTGTAACAGCTGTACTGGCACAGAACTGGTGTCGTAGTGGAAACATCTCATTTCTAAAAGTCTATTCCAATTAAAGTCACTCCATCAATCTTACACATCCTGTTTATTTTCTTTATTCTGGTTAGTCGTCGTCAGTAAACACGGTTGTATGATGTCGCCTGTGACCTGATGATGTCAGAGTGATGTCATCAGGATTAGAGACTACAACTGTCTGCAGGCTTAGGGTTTATCCATTAGCACTTTAAACCTGAGACGTTCTCCAGAGCACGTTCAACCAGCCTCCAAGCAGGCTGCAGCCAACGCGTGACGGCCCTCCTTTCTCCCTCTCAGAAACTCAGAACTCAACTCTGTCTGTGCAGGAGAGCAGTTCAGCTCTCAGTGCTACGTACCTTCTGGATCTCAGGTTTGAAGTTTCTGTCCTGCGTCACTAATCTGTACTCAGATATCTGCTTTATTTTACTGTTCCGTGTTTGCTTTCAGCTCGATAGGAGTCGTGTTAAGTTACTGCTGATAAAAACCCAACACTTCCTGATTTTGTTGCTTCATGAGAAGTGTTTAAACGTTAAAAATAACCAGAGAATTTAATTGTGAAGAATTTATAGGAAGTTAAATGTGTTTATCACAGTGTGTGTGTGAGTTACAAACTGTGAGGTGTGGGCTGTTTACCAGGCTCATTAGGAAATGTAGGATCCAGTGTTTTGGGGATTTGACCTTTAAAGGGACTAAATCAACTTTATTAACGTGTAATCTCAGTCACTGAAGTGAAGAGTTCCAGCCTGCGTACAAAATAACGAAGGTTAAAAATTGGTTATTATGCCAAATAGTTATAATGCTTTTGTTATTTATAAAGCTTTTGTTTATGAAGCTTTAAATGACCTTGCACCTCCATACAAAAGAGACTCTTTCACTTTATGTCTTCCACTGCTTTTCTTTTAAATGTTGCTTATGTGTGAGAGAGTCTTCTGTTTATAGCTGTGGAACTCACTGCTCTCTCAGTATTATTAAAAATAAATTAAAGACCTATTGTTTTAATCTGGCTTTTAATTTAATCTAATCATAGCCTTCGTTTTTAGGTTTTATATTATTTGTCTCCCTGATGTTTATTTTTATATCGACTTTTGTTCTTTTGACGTTTTACACTTTATTGTTTCCATCATATTTATTTGTAGCCGTATTTATTGTTGGTCATTTTTTTATTGTTTCAGTTTGTCATGCAAAGCACTTTGGGCTGCACGTCTGTATGAAAGGTGCTGTACGTATATAGTTGAGTTATTCAATAAATCATAAAGGCCGAAGAAAGTGTGAGATACATCATTCAGCAGGACTGTATAATATTCCTATAATATTCCTGTAGTGTCTTCACAGTAATCGAGTGTGTAATACTGTATCAATGTAATATATGTCAGATATTTCTAAAGTTATTTAAGACATCTCTGTACGTCAGTAGTTTTATGTAAGATGAAAGTGTTTTTTTACTGAACTTTAAATAAGAGTTGTTTTTTACATTTTTCACATTTAGACTCATCTGATCCATCTGAGCAGTCGTCCACTCCGTTACACTTCAACTTCTCTGGGATACAGCGTTTGTTCCTGCAGGCAAACTCTTCTGGTTTACACTTCACTGCAAAAGAAACAAAAGAAATGCCAGTGAGTTTTTGTCCCTATGGACTTTTCAAACATTCAGATCTTTTTATAACATGAACTACAGTATGAAGTTGGATGTCTCTGGATGCATCTGGAGGATCAACATTTTTTACTTTATTTATGAACACCTTCATCCATCTGTATTTCAGTTTAACCCACCACAGTTTTCCTCGTCTGTGTTGTCTCCGCAGTCGTCATTGCCATCACATTTCCAGAACTTTGGTTTACAGCGGCCATTTTTACACTTCATCTGAGACGCCTCGCATGCTAGAGCAAAGACACAAAGAAAAACATTTTAGTCCATCTCTTAATACTCTCTGAG